TTAAAAGTTAAGCGTGTTTGAAAAATACATTTCAAATCAGACTTGAAAAAAGTTGTGTGTGTGCATTTCTTATATTAAACTTTAGTTCATTAGTTAGTTAATTAAAGTTTAGTTTAGCCATAAATTAACATTTTTTTTTGTCCATAGTTTAACTTAAAACCTTTAGTTCAGCTATAATTCGAGGTCTTTAAAAAAAAATCCAAGCATCTTTAAAAAGGGACCAATCTTAAGTTTGTGATCCAAGCCCATCCTTGATATAATAGGTTGAAAATTTCAATCTTTAATAAAATTTCATTTCATTCATGGTAACATTTTTTTAAGTTATTTAAATTAGTTTATTTTTTAAATACAATATGAAATATCTATTTTCTAAGCATGTGCAGCTGTTAGATTTAGTTTCATGTTTCTTCCCACAGTGATAGCAAGACAATACAAGAAGAGGTTCACAAAAAAAGGCATTCAAGGCTTTAGATACATCCCTTTCCTGAGAATTCTTTCCGTGTAGCTTGTAAATTGTGTTTATAATCCTGCACACAGCTAATTATGTGTATAAATAAAAAAATCCCAAAGGAACTCATTTGTAATGTTTTGGAAAAGCTCAGAGTTGGCTTATATTTCTCTAAACCTGATTTATACTCAGTCTGGACAATAATACATATTGTTCTAAAAGTTTGTATAAAAAATAAGTATAAGATTTCCTAATATTTTTTGAAAGAGGTTTCTTATGGTCAGCAAAGTCAAAGGCTTGTTTGATTGTGTCTGTTTGTTTGTTCACTTAATTTTTTTTTTTTATCATTTAGCACATTTGCACAATTAGAGGACTCCGCTATGCTTAAAAAAAACCAAGAAGGTTTGAAAACATATCAGAAAAATTAAAAATAAATAATGAGAAAAATATTGTCCAAGAGGTCTGTTTTACCCCCCAACTGCAGGGTACTGTTTGGTATGAAATTTCTGTTAGATTAGGTACAGTCACTGATGATGTCACAAGATAACATTTAACACTTATCATGACTAAAAACTAAAGAAAGTTAACAGATACATTTATCTTAGTAGATGTTCTCAATGTGGAAATCGTTGCCATGGCAATACATTATTTTACTTTTTATGTTTAGCCATGTCTTTTTGAGGTACTGTAACCATAATCATTTCATTTTCATGGTGTTTTGAAAACCCAAAGTCATTTCGAAGTGCCTTACATGGATGTTTACAGAGGCTTTATAGCCACAGCTAGAAAACTAGAATGTCCTTTTCAGTTACGATCACTTCACCAAGCTTTGAATATTTTTTAAATCTCATAAAACCAATATAAATTGACAGAAGTACAAATCTGTAAAGCATCATCACATGTATTACCTATACTTTAATATGATTTATATAATAGTAAGAAAATGTTTGTTAAAATTTTAATAACAGTTTTTTTTTATTTGTGTATCCTTACAATTTTACTGCAAAAAAACACCCGAAGGCGAACATTGTACAGTTGACTTTTTACTTACTAAAACATAAAATAAACTGTCAATCAGATGTCAGAAAGCATGTGGTAAATTTTACAGAACAGGTTTTTCGGCAGTATTTGAACTTTGTAGAAAAAATAATGTATTTGTAATATGCAGTGTTGGGGTAAAACATGTAATAATACTACTTTTCTAAGTAACGAGAAAGGTAAGATTACTTTTAAAAATTAAGTAATATTATTTAGTTTAAATTTATAGTTACTTTTTTTAAATGTAAAGCGAGATAAAAATAAATTGCTGATTTAAAATTAACAAAGTTATGTTGAATCCTCCATGCAATGAGAGAATGCGTTTCTGCAATAGAAATATTCTCATTGTTTTAAAAACATGGAAGGAAAGAAAAAGAGGATTAACTGAATGGAAAGTGATTTTACTTTTTAACAAGACAAACAAGTACAAAAGCAGCAAAAAAGATTGCTTTAAACTTTCATTAATCTGTATTCTGTACATTTGGCATGTACAGCTCTGGGGTCAGGAAGTTTTCAGTAGATAACATTATCCTACATTATTTTTTTAAAGGTAAATGAAGGTAATACAGTGCTGCAAGTTTTGAAAGAGATCAAGCCTCAGCCAGGTCTGAAAAAGTAATGCAAAAGTAACGTAACATTACTTACAATAAAAAGAAACTAAGTAACGCAGCTATTTACTTTTTTGGGCAGTAACTCAATATTTAAAGCATTACTTTCTAAAGTAATATGTACATGACAGGTAAATGTCTTTATTTGATCAATGAGGATAAAATTATCTACCAATTATGCAGTCTTTACAGCCATACCGAGGTATTTTACTAGCACATTCTCATTTCCACATGGAAACAGCACAATTAAACTTATTTTTGTCACGGTTAGTTATAAATAGGTCATTTTAAAGGAAGAGGGCAAATTCCATAATGATGACCCATGAGCGCTGCCACACACCCATACGAACACATTAATACACATAAAAGAAACATCTGCATTAAACAATACTTACGAGAATGATAACTACAAACCTTAGGATAATAAAATATGTGTGCTGTAAAAAAAATGAAAGAACATTGAATAACTGCTGGTACCAGACCACAATTTCCTGTTTTCATGAAGTTACATAAAATATACTTTTTACATAAAAAAAGACTTTTTTGGTTTTGTTTTGTTTGTGGAACATAAAATATCATTTCTAAAGTACCTTAGCTTTTTTTCAATCACCTAAAGACCCTATTTACATGTGGTGACCAATTTGTTTTAGACAATCACATTACAAGTAAATGAAAGACACACATTGTTGAGACACTCTTGTGTCCATTTTCCTGATTTCTTTGAGAGGAAGGTCCATAGGCTGATAAGTGTATGGGCTTTTTTTGTCATTTAATGTAATATTGTAAAGTAGGTTTGTGCAACTTGCATATGAACATGCAAATAATTAGCGGTAAATGTCAGGAAACACCAGCTTTTATTTCTGACAACTACAAAACTACATCAAACAATGTGGGCTTCTGTTAAAAATCATTGTGCTTTTTTCAAGTTAAACATCACAGTGCCACACTTCAACATAATAATTCTCAAATTATTCAAGAATTAAGTCAGTGGCTTGTCTTTTGTCATTTTTTGCAAACACTCTGTGGTTTGAAAATGTCAGGTCAAAAGCATTTCTAACTAAATTCTAAAAGGCAAATCCCCAAAACAGACCATTTAAAGATTAGTTGCTTTTTTAACTCATTTTTTATTGTAAATAATACTGTATTTTAAAGGGCACCTATTTTACCCCTTTTTCAAGATTTTATATAAGTCTTTTGTGTCTCCAGAATGTGTCTGTAAAGATTCAGCTCAAAATACCCACTAGATTATTTATTAAACCTTCCAGAATATTGGATTTTCTGCTCTGAACACAATGTAGCTGTTTTTTTGCCTTTAATGCTAGTTCTCCCCGCCCACAGTCCCCACGTGTCTGTCAGAGTCTGCCTCGGCTGTGTCAGATAAACAGCACAGGGACAGACATGAAGGAAGCAGATCTCTCGTGACGTTTGTAAGAAATACCACAGTAAGAACTTTCGCAATGATTATTTAATGTATTTGTTGCTGAGTTAATTCAAGCCTTTCTGCAATGATGAGTCACACACAATGTCATTACAAAGTACACGCACACAAAGACACACATGATGCGCATTTAACTTTGCACTGTTTTTGCACAGCAAATGTGACAGGATACGCGTTAATACACACTTCTGTATCCGTTATGTTAAATGTACAAAATAAACCTGATTTAATGTCCACAAACCGGGATTGAAGCATCTTCTTTTAAATTTGTTCTGACATGTAGCTGTGGTGATGAAGTAAAGTCTGTAAAATCGCTGTAATTCATTACAAACATGCCCTGTTTTAAAAATGTTTTAAACATGTAAAAGTCATTCTTGATTACATTTGATGATGATTGATGATCCCAGCGAGCTGAACAGATCTTTAAATCCCAAATACTTTGCGCACATCCTGTCTAGTTGATATGATTATACGCATTAATACAGAGACACATTAATACACGGCTGTCAATCAAATTGGTGAGCGGGAAAACCGCACTCCTACATCACGTTGCGGTGGGCCTCAAAATGGGAGGGATTTGGATTCTATTAAAAAAATAAAAATAAAAGAGGCTTATTGTCTTTATATCACTCAAACATGACTGTGGACACATTATACCTACAAACAGTTCTGTCCAAACAGCATACAAAAAGATAGGTGCCCTTAAAGGACCTGTTGTACTACACTGTCTGATTAAAATGCTCTAATGATGATTTCCTTGTTGCTAATGTTGTTTATACCTGTATTATGCATTGTCCACTTTTGATCAAATCTAAATTAATACTAACTTTGTACTAAAACATGTAATTATCAACTTGTTTATTTTGTGCTCTACAGAATAAAACCCTGTATGTTTAGTTGGAACAATACTGGGGTGAGTAAATAATGGCAGACATTTCTCTTTTTTCCATTGACATTACATTGCACATTTGACAAGCATTAATCCAAAGTATTTTGCATTGCATTCAGAGTCCACGTTTAATTTTTTGTACCAGTTTTGTTTTATGGACGACTATCCCTTAAACTCTGTGAGGAACACACAAAAGAAGCAAGATCCAGAACTGAGGAATTGATTACAATTCAAGTACAATAGAAGTACACTTCAGGTTAGTGCAACTGCAACCTTGGCTTTAAGCTCTACTTTGTGGTGTAACAGTATGCAATTTATCTAAAAATAAACAGCGAAAGACGTCACAGAGTAGGAGAGAAACAGGAAAATGGAAAAGGGGCGTCAGGAAACTGCCACTTGTTTACACTCCATGAGGATAATGTCACAAACACATGGCAGTAAACATGGCACTCGTTTGCTTATGAGGATGGACCTACAGTACAGTTACTTTGCTTTACTTTAAAGAAAACACGAGCATTTAAAAGCCCAGCTCATCTGTTTATACAAGTCCAGACATGACTTTTTTCAGAAAGCTCTCACCTGGATAGTGCCCTGCTGCCGTTTCTGGCTCCTCCTTGTCCTCTTCTTTTAGTCCATCTCCATCACAGTCTAGGTCTGATAATGGGGTGTCCTCCACCGGCACCACTGTGAAGTTAGTAGGCATCTTTCCCCTCACACCATGTGCTCTGTGTTTTATTCCTTGGGTCTTTTTTTCTTTCAGTCTCACCCCAAAACTCCTGAACTCACCAGAGTGCGAAGTTCTCTGACTTTTTCACAACTGTTGTTCAGAGTCAGACGCGGTTGCCCACGTGATCCCTTACAACCAAATAAGGAGTGTTACTAGACTCCTCCCTCCGAGGCGTCGGGAAAATTTCTGCCCTTCCACAGAGCTGTAGACTGCTTCCTCTTTTGTTAAAGCGTTTTCTTCGTTGTACCTGCGAAAGCTGAGAGGGAAGTCTTTGTTTGCTGTGGCTGAGTCATAGAAGAATGCTCAAAGTGATGAGAACAAAGGGCTAAGCACATTGTGGCATTCCTTAACACCAGCCCACATTCTGCCCCACCCCCTCCTGACATCCCTCAAAGGAAACGTGTTCTCTACAATCACTCCATTCAGGACTGAATGTAACCATGTCGCTCCTGTTTCTTTTGCACGACCATCACTAAAACTTGACTTTTTTTTTTCTTTTTGCACAGGATTTTGAAGATCACTGTAATTCTTCAAAAAAAGTGTTAGAACTAGGCCTAGACAGTGACTAGCTGTGTTTCATTGGCGTGCGCAGTAACATACGCTGAAATGACTGCTGGGTCAATGCTGACAGCACAACCAGTCATGTGAGAGTGGCTGATAAGTGTCTCGGCGGTGGCACTTTGCTGAATCCACAGAAACAGCATCCATAGCAGTTATACAGCTGCTGCTTGAATTTACTTTATTATATATATATATATATATATATATATATATATATATATATATATATATATATATATATATATATATATATATATATATATATATATATATATATATATATATATATATATATATATATATATATATATATATATATATATATATATATATATATATATATACGTATATATATATATATATATATATATATATATATAAACTGATTTTTATCAGTTAAATTTGCACTCAAGACTAAGATCTTTTTGTAGTATCTATAATCAGATATAAATAGACAGATAGACATAATCAGATCTGAAAAAGAAGAAGAAAAAGGAAGGAAATCTCACAAAACTGTAAACGCATAAAAAATTGCATCTTTAAAAAGTTTCCATTTTGTTATGGGTTGTTTAAAATTATACCTTTATTTTTAATCATGTGATGTGTTTTACACGCCAGCAGGTGGCAGCATCTGTTTTTCAAATAAACTATTCTTCTCATAATCTTGTCAGTGCTTCAAAATCGAAGTTTTTGCAATAATGTAAGACAGAAATTAACCACTTTTGCTTTCCCGATGTACCTTTCAGAGAAAAGTTCGAGAAAAGAGTTTTCTTAGTGTAAAAAATCCTTTTTACACCATAAACCCAGCTGAAAAAACAGCCTGTGCTGGCGGTCCGTGTATCATCCGTTCATTTGATTATTCCTTTTATTACGGAAAACGAAACATCAGAAAAACGATGAATATTTCGTTTTTCTGTTTATTCTGTAGGCAGAAAAAACGGAAACTCATCTGTTATTCTGCTTATTAACTTAAAACGAAATATTAAAACAAACACAAAACCAAAACGAAATAATGAGTCAAAAAATGGTCCGTGTACGGTCCGTGTACATTTTGTTCATTTGTTTTCCATTTTCAAACGGAATAAAGGAAATGGAGAAAACGGCCGTTTTTCCGTTTTTCTTTTGCTCACGAGAAAACGAAAAAACGAGATTTTGGCTGGATTTTCGTTTTTTGGTTTAGGGTAGGAAAACGGATAAACGACTTTAAAATTCATTTTACACATGTAGGCGGTACTGAAACGCCCACTTTCCTCTAATTGGTCAACCAAATCTGCGCTCGTGACGTCACCCTCAAAATAAAAGCCTTACACGCAGGCTTTTAATTATTATTATTTAATTATATATATAAACAAAGTTTACATATTCTATCATTTGAACCACACACAGTTAGCAGGCTTACATTCATTGCGTATGTATAAATTAAATAAAAACGTAAAGCAGTATTCTTAGACATTTGTCATTAAAATAAGGTCATAGTTCACTGCCAAGCTTCTTGCTGCTGTGCACCTGATGCAGAGCAAAGAAAGCCATTTCCGAGGAGCACCTGGTTTACATGATTGTTTCAGAGCTATTGTAGGCCTAAATAATAGCCTACTCTGTATAAAATAATAATTTATTATTATTATTATTATTATTATTATTATTATTATTAGGCCTATTATTATTAGTATTGTTATTATTATTTACTTAGTTATTCAATGGTTGTAAGAACACATTGGACCCTGCATGGGGCTATAATAAATGGTACCATTTGTTTCTATTGGATTTTCTCCTATTTTAATTTAATATATGCCTTTTGCCTATTGTAAATATTTATTTGATAATTAATACTTTTTTATTGCAACGTCAAAGTAGGCCTGTCTTATTATTATTATTTTTTGTTAATATTTTGTCGTTGTTGTTGTTATTATTATTGTAGCAGGGACATAGCCACAGGTGTGGCAGAGTGTGCTGGTGCCACCCAAAGTGGCATCTTGCACCTGAAAATAGATGCCTTAGCGCTCAAGCGCGCGCAAGAAACTTGCACAGGCAAAAGTAATGATGAATGTGTTGAAGGAAAAAAAAACATTCTAATTATTTGTTAATAAAATAGTGCAACATTATTCTCAGTCAGTGTAAGCTGAAAAAATTAAGATCGCCAGCATTTCAAGGGTGGTTTTATTTTTAGTTCATTGCTGTCACGCGCTATATTTCACTAAGGCTGCATGAGACTGCGCATCTTGCTTATTTTCTCTATTTTACATAAATAACATATCATACAGTCCAGGTTCTACCGTTCTAGTGAGTGTGGGGCATTGCTTTACAGTGGTAAAGTGGATTATTTCTTGGCAAATTCATAACGATTCACTTTGTTTAGTAATAAATTTCATAGTTATAAAATAACTACATTTCAAGAATATGTTAACACTTTCAACTATTTAGGATTATTTATTGCATCAAAAGTAATTTCAAAGTAACATTAAATGTACGTATAAACTGCTTAATTTGTGTGTGTAAACACCTAAGATGCAAAAAGCTTATTTAGACCAGAATAGGCCTACTAAATGCAACGGTCAATGTATGTAAACTTATGACCTAAAATGTCTTAAATGACTAAATTTAAGTCTTTTTAAGTTTTTAAATAATTTAAGTTTAACATAAATGATTTAAACTTTAAACTTCAAATTAACAGAGTATGGCAAATAAATTGTTTATTAAATGGAGGTCAGGTGTCTATCTTATTTATAATTATTAAATATTATGACACTATAATTCAGTGGTGTATTGGAGAGTACGCACCTTTTAATTAATTAATTTTAAATAAGTGGTTTATCCTAAATAAAATGCAATGGGATCGGTGTGCAATGAATAGTTTGAAAACCCCTGGTTCAGACTAGACGAGCTAGCTGTCTGTGCGCTGCGCTAATAACTTGGCATTTGCTCTTTTCGGTGCTGCCAGATGCATTTATAGTGCATAAAAAATAAAAAGATAATTCGGTAAAGCGCGCGATGCGCGCAGAATTAAGCGCACTATACGCATATGTCGAATTAAGTTATCTTTTTCTTTAATCAAGACTTTTCCATTCGAGGAATTACAGTTATTAATAGCTTAGTCCTTACAAACGATCAGTTTATAAAATACACAATTTACGGATCAAGCCATAATGAAGAATAAGAAGAATATGCAACGCATAATCCTTGAATGATCAGAGCGCATTTATATAAACTAGCTATTTTATATAATCCATAAATATTAAAAAACATTATACATTTAAAGTAATGGAACATTATATGTTATAAAATCTAAACTATTATTTAGGCTACAGGCTAAATAAAGGCGCCTTTTCGGGGCTGTTCAGCGCGTGCGTTAAAGAAAAGACATGACACAATCTCTATAAAAACTTGTTGTTTATTTACAATATCTAAAGGGATATAAAACATCTAACATGCATCTCCATTCTCAACGAGTTTCTGTGTTCTGCATCCTTCACAGACCGAGGTCTCATTCCGAGGTAATCTGTAAATATTCTCATTTGGTTCTGGCACATTCTTGATTAAAGGTGAAACTGACCGGCGCAACGGATGATTTGTCATCTAGAGTGACTACAGTTATAATACAGGTTATGGAACTATTTCACTTTAATTTCATATTATTATTTTATTAAACAAACAAAGCAGTTTTTGTTTTGGCTCTGCATGCAGCGTATTGGATCTTTGAAGCATTGCACTTCAAATGTTATTCCTTTTTTTTTTTTTTTTTTGTATTTTTAATATTTTTAATTATACAACACAAAATTGGTTCTAAACAGATACATTTTCCTATAGGCTATGATGAAGTGTATATTTTTGTTCACACAGGTCCTATACAAAACTGTGTGGATGGATGATTTGTTTCTCCGTGAAAATCACTCATTTAATAAGCAAAACAGGCCAAAATGTTGTTTAGCTTGCATCAAACTGGATGGACAATTTACAAACATATTGAATACAAAGGCTGGTTATTTTATGCAATGAGGGACAATAGGCCTATTACAAATTAACGAAAATTATTTGCATATTAAAACGAAAATATATAAAACAACAACAGATCCTACCTCGTAAGAAATGACTTTAGATAATGTAAATAAGCATCAAGGTTTTTTTTTTGAGATTGTGTGTCTAATTCAGTAGTGTAGTGCGTTCGCGTGGGTTTCCTCCGGGTGCTCCGGTTTTCCCCACAGTCCAAAGACATGCGGTACAGGTGAATTGGGTAGGCTAAATTGTCCATACTGTATAAGTGTGTGTGTATGTGTGGATGTTTCCCAGAGATGGGTTGTGGCTGGAAGGGCATCCGCTGCGTAAAAACTTGCTAAATAAGTTGGCGGTTCATTCCGCTGTGGCGACCCCAGATTAATAAAGGGACTAAGCCGACAAGAAAATGAATGAATAATGTGCAATACTAATTTAAAATACTTATCACTAACCTTATATGTGAAATAGCAGGGCCCTCTGTAGCACTTTCTCAAGAAGAGCAAATGTCAAATTATTAGTGCAACGCACATGTAGCGAGCTCATCTGTTTGTCGGAACTACTAGACACAATTTTTTTTTATCAACTATAATGTGTTTAATTAGTTAATTTGAAATTTATTTCATTATTCCAGCAATAATTGTTGAGTGAAAGAATGCGCTAGAAATATGCATTGCGGCTCCCTTTATTGTAAAGGCTTATTGCACTTAAACTTTTTTAGGTTCGGCTCTCGAATTAGTAAGGTTATGAGTAAATGTTATTTAAAATATTTAAAGCCTGCCATCTAGCCTACAATAACAGCAAATTTAATAATAAAAAAAATAATAAGACAGGCCTACTTTGGCGTTGCAATAAAA